AATGAAGTTAATAGAGTTCAGAGTTCATAAAGAAAAATTAATCTTGTCAGTCATAATATTAAAATTTTACTTGACCGACCATATTTTTAAATAGAATGTAATCTCTTTAAAAATTTTGGCACCCTGAAAATATGCTTTATATTATAATTTATTCTATTAGCAAAATCAACAACCGGAAACAATTTACAAGGTGTGATAAATAATTGTGATAAAAATTTAAAAAAATTTCTCAATTATCCCAATTATAATTTGTCTGTCCTTAATTATTTTAAACATAAGGCTTTTTCCGCTGAGAGTAAATTTATTTTTTTTAAAGAAATGGATAATATTTTTGTTGAAGTATATTTAACTTATTAATTGTTTTCGCAAAACCAAGGAATCTAGATTCCATCTAGACTTTCCCTATTTGTGAAATTTTGTTCCCCATTCGAACATTTTTAGAGTAATTTAAAATTTTTTTAATAGTATACAAAATACAAATGTCATTTCAAACATTTTATCTTTGAAGTCATATAAAACAGTTGTTAATTTCAGAGTATTCTTGCTACTCTACCAAAATATCTAGAGTCTTATAAATTAATCTGGAGTATTATACATTTTGTTTGCGATTTACTAATCAAAAATAAAATTGTACTTAAGTTAATCTCGAGTAAAAAAATTACCCCAGATTTACCAATTGAAAACAGCATTAGTATAATATAATTATACTTATATAATTATAATAATATAATAATATAATTAGTATAATATAAGTATTAGTATATATAAAATGATTAACAAATTTTATTTAACTACAAGACATTGGATACAATATTAACCAATTAAAACTAAACTAATTAAAAAATTCGAATATTTCCAACAGGTCATTCAAACAGGTTAGTAATTTTTAGGGATCACTTCAAATAAGCTATATATCTTGTAGCTATTTAGATTTAGAAATAAACTATTTGAGATAAAAGTTTTTAATTTTTTCCGGAACAATTAATTGCTTATATAATATAAATAATGACCACTCAATTAATTCAAATTTCTTTTTTGATTATGACCCAATTATTGATAATATCGTAAAGTTTTAGATTTGATAAGTGATCTCCTGGATTTTTGTTTCTAAGCTACATATTATTATGCAATAACATTTAATTCCTAGAAACTGATCCACTTATATATATTATTTGTAGTAATTAGATTCTAAATTGTTTCGTTCCGATAACATATGTTTATGTATGTAAGATATATTGATACTTAAACGTTTAAACATTAGTTTTTTAATTATTAATACTATTTAAATATTGGAACATATATCTAAGAACTAGAATATAGAAACATGTGTATTTTGTCATGATTGAGGATATTATTTTAGTTCCTGAACCTCACAATTAAACCTAATAAAAATAACAAAATATTAACTGTAAGAAAGAAATAATGCATACGTAATTTTTCGAATTTTTTTTATTAAAATCTTTTAAAATTACACATATTTTTATTACAATATATATACACAATAAAATATATAATATTAAAATAAAATATAATATTATAACACACACAGAGAAATTAAAAATTAATTTAATGATAAAATTTCTTTAAAGTTTTCGGATTTTAAAAATTCTGTAAAAAATTAAAAAAATGCGTAAATGACGAATATTTTATATTAAAAAATATATGCAAATTATTTTAAAAAAAATGTACAAAAAAATTATTTAAATAAAATTGTTGCTTTTTATAAAAAAAAAATGTTGCACAATCGAATAACACAGAGAAAATGTTAAGTTTTAAATTTAATTAAATTTTGTTTTTAATGTTATTTTAAATAATTTAAGTACGTCTCCTTAAAGCCAAACGACCTTGTGGACGTTTTGGTTTGAAGTCTTCCTTTTCTTCTTGTTCTGGCTCTTCGGCACCAGCATCTTCAGGTTGTGCTTCTGCTTTTCCGGGTTTTGTGAACTTACGACGGCTCACTGTATTGCAAAGAGGAAAAAATATAAGTAAATAGTATGCTTATATAAAAATATATGTAATTTTTACAATATAAAGTAAATTAGGTTATTAGTTATTATATTTGTAATCAATAAAAGAAATAAATAATAATATATGAAATAACACATATAAGTCAAATAAATATAATCATCTTCAGGGTACTATACAAAGAACATTATTAAAATGACACCTATATTTTATTTAAAAAAAATTGTATATATATAAAATTATTTTTATATAATTTTAGTTTTAATAGTAAATAAATAATATTAACAATAAATAAATAATATTAATAATAAATAATTAATATTAATAATAAATAAATAATATTAATAATAAATAAATAATATTAATAATAAATAAATAATATTAATAATAAATAAATAATAATAATAAATTATAATAATTACGAATATTGTCAAATTGATTTACATTTCGAAATAATAACAATTTATTGTTGTTATTTGTGTATAAAAATATGTGATCTAATATTGTTCTGAATTAGTCAATGAAAAGTTTAATTATAAAATAAATAACACCTGAATAAACTAATTTTATATTTAAATATATAAAGCATAGGTTTATAATGTAAAAATATGCTCCATTTTCAATACTTTATATAAAAATTAGTTATATGGATTATATTAATACAAATAGTTTTGTATTTATAATTAAGAATTTTATATCCTTAGGCAAGTGAAAAGATTTTCAAATCTCCAAAAAAATTTTTTAATCAATAATAATTCTTGAAAAATAATAATTTATTTTTATTACTGAATTGATAATTTAATTATTATTTAATTAATGATTTTTTTACTTACATGCTGGGTTGCCTTTGAAACTTTTTGTGGGCGCTGGTGCAGGTGCTGGTGCTGATTCTTCCGCCTCACCGCCATTTTCAGCTACTTGTGTCTGTTTAATTTTTGGTACAGGCTTTTCATCTAATATATCAAAAAACGAAAATTATTTTAGTTTTGAACAATATTATTATTATATAAATCTTTTATTTTTAACAAACCTCTGTGTTTCTTTGCATTCATTTGACGACGTTTAAGTGAATTTAAGAAATCATCGTTTGAACGGAATGGACGTATTACTGGACCGATTCTTTTTGGTGCCTCTGTGGTTGTTGTTGTAGTGCTTGAATGTGATGCCTCATCACCTTCATCGCTATATTGCTCCTCTGGATTTTCATCTGCATAATCACCATCTTGACCCTCAGCTGATGGTGGTGGTGCTGCTGTTGTTGTTGAAGTCTTAACCGCTTTACCAACAGGGCGTCTGAGTGCTATACGTTTTGCTGATGGTTCGTCCTGTGCAAAAGTTAAGCTGCAGGCTACGGCAAAAATTACAAAAAGCAGGGCACTGTAAAATAAAAAAAATAAAATTATTATTAATTTTATTATTAAATATTATATTAGTTTTTTATTATTTATTCTTGCTATTTGCTTTATTTGCTAATACTTTTTTTTAAATAAGATCACGAAGTATTTGCAATGCAGGTTGCAAAAAGCCTGAGCTCTTGGTCTTTTAGTAATTTAGAAAGGCTTAATTACAATTAAATTACAAATAAACACTGGTTAAAAATGAATTGTTAATTTTAAAAATATAATTTAAATATTAATTTAATGAGAACAAAATTGCTAATTCTGTTGTAAAAAATATACAATATCTTATCATATTGATAAGATAATGAAATAAAACATACTATGTTCATTACAAGATGTAGCTATCAAAATTCAAGAACAAAAAAGTCAGTAATGTAATAATAGTATAGGAATATAATGTTATATACTTAACTCTTACATCCCAATAGAGAATATTGGGATCAAAAAACTGGCTTATAATATAACTCTAAAAGCTTTGAAACTAGTGATACAAAAAAAGTTGAGTGTAAAAAATGCTTTATTTGCAAGTAATCAGATGTCAACAACTTTATGGCTGTGTTTCTTATAGCAACGCTACTCCATCCATGGACCATCAAAATATTATAATGAGATGTATGTTAAAAACTTATTGACTTGAGATTTAAGAGTGTGCAAAAGAATATAGCGTTTAATTTTATTTATACTTCTGTAAATTCACCTGAATAACTTATTATAAAAATTCTATGAATTTTCACTTTTGTTACTGCGGATCAACCAAGTAGACAATCTTGTTAAAGTGGATCATTCAAATGAACACTCTTGTAACAGTGGATCACCTAAGTGGTCACTTATATTACAGCTGATTACCCAAGTGTATATTTTATTACAGTGGATCACCTAAGTGTTCAACCTTGTTACACTGAATCACCCAAGTGGCCACAGACACTATTGAGTGCTGCAAACACTAACTAGGAATGATAAAATGAGTTAGTTTAATAAGTATAAAAAATTTTTAAATTAAAGTAATTAATACTCTTCAAACAATATTTTAAATATTGTATGCTTTATTATTTAATTCTTTCTATACAGATAAAAGTCATCATATAATATTATAAAGGGTCCAATAGCTTTTTTAAATCACTGTTTAAAAATAAAATATCATATTATCATATACAGGATCCAATAACTGTTTAAATGCGGTGTAAAATATAAATCCAAGTTATGAAGCTAATTCTTCGTAATTTACTTAAATTCTAACATTTAGTAATCATTCAAAGGCCTAAATCAAATCTAATATCAATGTCTGAGAATGAAAAGTAATATTATATATTTTTAATATATTTATTATAGTCATGTTGGTCTACACGAACTGTTCCACATGTTTTCTTTAATAAACGTGCTTATTTATTCTTATGAATATTTATGAAATTATTTTTTAAACCCACTAAACCAAAAACCAGAATAATTAAGAATTAATAAAAAAATGAAAAAAAAAACAACTTGTAAAATCTTGTACCGGCTTCTTTATTGTTAGGTGCTAAAATAGATGACGTTGATGTTGGATATTACGTTAAAAATGTTTAAAGTGAAAGTTCAATTGCCAGTGAAGGACGCTGCTGGCAGCATAACAAAATCGGCTAAAATTAATTTTACGTATACGCCACGTTGTGCACAAATGTTCTCTGCTGTAAGCGGTCGGTCGTTTGGGTTGTGTGTTTCGGTTTGATTGGGTTTCTAAGCCAGCCGCCAACAACTGCTTCACTAAAACAAGTGCTTATGCAAAACAAACCAGTTCCATAGAATTTAAATGAAATTCGAATATTGACTATTGAAGCACATGATCCATGCCATACTATTCGAGATTAACAAATGTGCGAATAATAGCGGTAAAATATGCACATTCAATATGATACAATATTATTATTAATAATGGATTTATTTTCATTTTTTTTATTTGCATATTACAGTATGCATTCCAATAAATTCAATACTAAATTCATTTATTTATTATTTAATACAATTATTTGCTCTGACAGACGTTGAGGTTACAATGCATTAAATTGTTTAATAATCGAAAGTAAAGTCGCTTATACTCGTACAAATGTGAGGGTTCAGTTAACATATTTTTGTAATTTAAATTTCATACTTATTTTGTAATACATTTATTTTGTAATTACAGAATAGGAAAACTTTAATTTTAATTAATTATTTATTTCATTTTTTTTATTATTTAATTATTCTTTATTTAATACAGTAAAGAAGTACATATAAATAAAGTTGCGAAATGAACGGATATAAAGAATATATTGCCTAAATGAATAATTGCCAAGAGAGCGGTTAAAAAACTAAATTCTTTATCAATAACTTAAAGTTTAAATAATTTAAACTTAAATTAATGTAACTTATTTATTTTATTTTTAAAGAATTTAAAAAAGTTCTCAATTTAAATTAAAATTTTTTACGAATAATGAAATTCAAGACCACTGATGATGGGTATTTGGCAATACTCGAAACAGCTGTATGGTTAGCCAAAAATTAAATTAATGAAAATAATATAAAATGCATTTTAGTTGTTGTAGTTCACTACTGTTCGAAAAAAACCTATTTTTATAATAAATACACTTCATGTACTGGTAAAAAAATGGTGGTTGTTAATTCAAATCTTTTTCATTGTTATTCTGCAATTATATGAAATCAAAAACAAATTTCAAACCAAAGGAGTTCTGGCTCTATGCGCAACTTCACTTTAAACAAAATGTAATGAAGTTTAAAATTTAAAATAAATTTATTCAAATTTAAAATTTAAATTTTTTGGAATATATGTGATAGTATTCAAATCTCTTAGAAAAATATCTCTTTACTTCCTTTTACGTACTATCTAATAATTAGGTGGCAATGCCAAAACTAGGATGTATTATATTCTCATAAAAAAAATGCCTCAAAAATGAGTATATTAGTACTAGTGTTAATAAATTGGTAAGCCTGCACACAAGCTAAAGAATTCATGCCCAATCGATCAAAAAAAGTCAAAAAAAGCTTCTAATGTTGAACAGAAATGGTATCCGACCTGTCACAGGGTTTCTCACTGGACATTGAAGTGTAAAAAAGTATCTTTCGAATCTAGACATTACAAGAGACGATAGCTGCAAACTTTGTTACGAAGAAGAGAAAACAGCAAAACAGACTCTGTGTCACTGTGATAGTCTCGCCAGACTCAGACTTCGGTACTTATCAACTACTTATCCACTTATAACGGAATAAGGCAACAGCTCTACAAAGGACATAATGTGCGTTTTTTACTGCCACTCGTTAATAGTTAAGCTATTTGAAACTAAAAAAATGCCTGTATAAAGCACTTCATTGCAATATAATTTATTTTATGTTACCAAAGTTATATCAATGCATTACTATAAATATAAAGAAATGGACGTACAAGTCTGTGTAATGATATAATTAATATGAAATACATTTATTTAAAGTAAAATCATATTATACTATGGATTAACCCCATTGGGAATAATGTAGAACTCGCATGCCTCTTTCTTTACGTCCATGAATATGTATAAATTTATAGATATGTATTGGGGTAACTGTTACTTTTAAATATATTTGGGTTTAAGTTAACACTCAGATAGTGTTATTGTTTGAAAACTGAAAGAAGTTTTGAATATTGAGTCTTAGATGAATAAAATATTGTTGAAGGGTCGCTTATAGAGTCTAAAGTTTGGGAAATTTTATTTTGTCACATTTTTAAATTTTTTGAATTCACACGCATGATTTATTATCCTACTAATATTAATGTTTAGTATTCTGGCTTTCTTTTAATAAAAAATCATTACGGTTGGTTAGGAAATAACTAAGTTTTTAACAATATAGCGTATTATTTTCAAATGTAATAGAAATATTTAATTGGTGAGAGAAAATATGTGTATTTGAAGAGTTTTTTAAAAAAAACTTCTTGGTTTTAATGGAAATATTATCTATTTGAATAAACAATTTGAAGATAATTCAATAATATTAGTTGTCTTCAAAAGTTTCATATACATTTTGGAAATTTTAGTTATGGTCTGTTTGGAAGGATATTGTTTTTTCAGTAGCATGACGGAGAAAGCGAAGACCAAATGGTTTATCAAGCTATTTATAATAAAAGCCAGAGTTAATGTAGCTTGCTTGCCCTCATTCCCTTAAGGGTATAACAATGGATAATTAATATTCATATAGAACATGCTCATTAAAGTCCCCTCGTTTGGAATGGAAATAGTATATAGTGTTTTCAGTAGTTTGAAAGAGAAAATGAAATTAATTTTATTAGATCTACTTAACTTTTTCTGGAAGATTATATGGTTTAAAAAAATATTACACACCGAGTTATAATGGAACTCATGGTTAGTTGGCTGTCCTGGCAGCTTTAAGGGCATTATAATGGGTCATAAATGTTCATAAATTTTATTTTTTATTTATTTTAATACGTATCCTCTCAACCTAATTAAATCGATTATAATCCTCTTTTTAGTTTAAGTCTATTCTGAGAAATTATAAGTTTAATTCATTTTGACTGACCTAAGGGCATTATTATTCATTGGATATATCTATTCATTGATCTTATTACTTCGTTATATGTTAAATGTTATGCAATTTAATTTCTTTTGAAAATTTATTTGCTTTTTTATTTGCAATAAAAGAGTTCAAATCAATAAAAAGACCGCTCCTTTCCTCAACACTTCGTACGTGTGATTCATTTAAAAATAAAAACAAAACATGAAATTGATTTTTTTTTGTGATAATTGTTAACATAATTACAAAATATATGTATAAAACATTTCGAATGAAGTAATTTTAAAATCATTTTTGGTAATTCAGTGAACGTTTGACATGAAATAAATGGAAAAAAAAAAATTGAAATATTTTATTTATATAAATATAAAAATAGATAAAGTGAAAAAAAGTTACTTTTGTTATTATAAAATAAGTAACGAACAATTTGTATGCTCAATAAGT